GTGAGTAACGTTACTTACATCTTGGAGATCTTGGACGCGGCTCCTCCAGTAACCTTCGCCACACGGAGCTGGGAGAGCTCGTTCTTCAGGTCGTCCAGCTGCTTGAGCAGCTCTTCCTTCTTCTTGCCCCGCAGATCTCTTGCCTTGATCTTGGCCTGGAAAATGACATTTATATGAGACAGTGGCACATCGGATTCGCCCCACCTCAGAGGGAAATGTCCAGTACAATTCTCCATTATTTTGGTTAACAGCAATGTACCGTTTGTTACCTAATCTGTTAATCACATTTTATTTTCCACCCTTTTAAACTGAAAACAATATCTCAAACGACTCGTTAACAGGAATAACTGCAGTGAATAAACACGGAAAATGTATTCCAAAATTAACAGTTTTCGGTTTGGGTTTGTTCTGATGGGTGAACATAATCTAGGGATACTCTTTCAATTTCTATGGCGGCCATTTCAGACCGGGTACTACATAGGCGTTACAAAGTTGGCAATTCATTGAAAGTGGGGATCAGCAATGTTATGTTCAAATGCCTACCGTGGAGGATATGTAAAACACGACAGAAGGGCTAAATAGGTTACCAGCATTAACGAATACACATGGCTATACATGAGCAAATCCTATTCAGCAATGCTTCCACGTGTTAACTGCTAGTAGCTTAGCATGTTGGTAGCATAAAGTCTATGGTTGGTAGTAGCAAGGCTTCACAAAATAACATTAGGTTTCTGCAGCGTGCTAATCAACACACGTAAGAACGGCTACCCGAGAAGCGTGTGTGTACGTCTAGCATTCATGTTATAAATTAAAAAAGTGGATGTGAATGAACGAGTGAAGGCTGCTCACCATGTTCTCCTCGCCGTACTGTACTAGAAAGACCGGATACTGCGCGTGCTCAGAATATGTAGTACTTCTTCTTCGTGGATTTTAAGTCTCACTTTGATTATACACAAACAGCGCCACTGGCGGCAGGGCAGGGTAAAGCTTTATACCTGAGCTAACCTGGCAGCGAAATGAAAAGGGAAGAACCGCATAGTCTTTGAGAACCAAATACTGTCTTCTTCAAGAACTCAGCACATGAAAAGTTGCCTGTGTTATTTAAAACCTTTACAATAAGTGAACAACTATGAACAAATGCAGAAAAGCACTGTGGTCTCACAACAAGGTTCTGAGTGAAAACCTGCCAGCGGGCTTTTGTGTGTCAAGTTCTCATGTTCCTGGTGTCAGCTGTGCACCTGTCCTGTTCCCCCCCACAAGGCGTGGTTTTATGATTTAAAATGTGTTATTAACAAATGGGGGAAAGAAACCTTTGCAGTGGCAGCAGTGAAATCATAAACAGCTAAATACATATTCATCTTTAGTGATTATACTGTTTGGTTTAAGGGTTTAAAACAGAATCAGATTAAAAAGTGCATTCGTCTTCTCCTTTGTTTCTCAAGCAGAGAGAGTATATTACCCAGCAGAGTTTGGGTGACTACATCATTGCTACACGTCACAGAATGAAATTGGATTGCTGCAGTCAAAGATGCACTTCTGTGTCCAAATAAACAGAAATATACACCAAGAGAACAACACTTAAAGTAGGCCTACTGTGATAATCCTATGCGGACAGCACTTAAATGTAATTCTGCTTCATATTGCATGCAAAATAATAAAAACTAATACTGTTACCTTAACACATAAAGGTAATTGTAAGGCTAATTTAGAGATTCAAGGTCAGCAGCAAACATGCAGATTCCCTGGGCTCTCCACAGATGTGAAAATAAAGCTCATCATGTTGGAACTGATATCAGCCTGAGGAAGCATTATGTTGGACAGAGTGACACACTGAGGCAGAAACCAGTATGTGTTGTGATCTTAGATAAAAATGATAAGCACTGCAAACTGGTCACATCCAAACATTTACATCCACAGATTTATAAAGATTGCAATGCATAGAGTATGTACATATTTCTATATATAAATAGACATGTGGAATGTATTTCATTTACATTAGCAAAGGCAGGTAAAGGTAGAGCATGTCCTCCGGTCATCATTAACATAGCATTCACTTATTTTATCACATTATATTATCTAAATGGACAACTGTAGACTAAATGAGTTTTTTTTAAGTGGGAGGTGGGGTTCCAAACATTTGCAGCTGACTCAGTTAATAGATCTAAATCTAACATCAAAGAAAGATTTCATAGAACAGCATGTGTGTGAGGTGATTAAAGATATCATTCAGAGATGGAGTAGAGAATTGTACAGTTGTTCCTACTTTCCAAAAGTCAAAAAAACTAATGAAGAACTCCTTGGGAAATACTGTTTTATGTAAATAATGAGGTCTGAAGTGATTGAGTGGGTGGGCACCTTTTCCTAAGCTTTGTCTGAGTAGAGCAGACAGTCTCACACTTTGAAAATCCATTTTGATTATTAATTGGAATTATTCAAATGTTACCCTGACCTGAGCCTCCAATGTAACATTTACGAACGATGTTTATACAATCCTGCAACAAGCACAACTGCTGGATTGGTAGACCTTAACTCTGGTAAGCAATGGCATTTGAGGTCTACCAATCCAGATGAGGGGGCAGGATTTGAGGGCAACGGCTGCTGGGATGTTAACTCGTATCAATAACAGTTTGCCTGCGAGGTAGTTCTTGCCCTAGCCACACGGAGACGGTAACGAAAACAGTCAAAGTCTTCCGTCCACACGCAATCGGCACCAGAAACGTGTCCACACGAGACCGCTCGACCCGCTGTAGTACATATGCCGGGCCTGTAAGTGGCGCTGTACTTCTGCCACAAAATACACCAATAGCAGCGAAGAAGACTTCCCGAGCATGCATGTGCCATGGTTGCCCTTCTGTTTACTCTCCACGGTGGATTTAACAGCAGAGGTGGGGAGAGGCAGGGCTCTGGCTCTTTTTCTCCCTCCCCGAAGCAAGCGGGTGCTCCTGCTGTAAATCTCCCCAGTAGTCCACCAGCAGATGAAAAACACCCACCTCTCCGCCTCTTCCAAGGGACGAGGAAACCGAGCCGCAGAGTTTCCTTTCGAATTTTTTTTCACCGGTCAACACGTCCGTTAAAGTTGAAATAATCCGAAAATAATTATAAAAGTGCCGGTCAGAGGTCTTCTTTGTTATTTATTGAGCTTTAAAACAAATGACTAGAGACTCTATATAGAGTGCCACAGTGACGCGTCCTAAAACCCGGAAGTAAGCTGCGCATGGGTTCCTTCGACAAAAAAGCAATGCAATTTCTCCATAGGATTTTGGAAAATACCTCGAAATAAGGTCTGTGGTTGAGACATATTTAAGAGACGGCTCACGTTTTGTTCAGTCGGATAATCTCCACATGTCTACCCTACTTTTATAATTTTTGGATCATAAACCTATCGATCATAAATCTATCGACACACGGAGTCTCTCTTTTCCTCCCCCTCTTCTGACAGCCCGTCAGTATTTTCGTTATCAGGAAATGATCGTATAGGGCGGAATCACAGAGCCGTTTCCCCCCCCAGAGCGCAACATCCTCAGATCTACCCACCTTGGTACCCGTTATCGTTGTCTGCGTTTCCCTGTCAGCCTCGTGTGGTCGAACCGTCTATATGATAGAGAACTGTATGTATCCGTGTGGCTAGGGCATGATGACAGTTTTGTTAACAGATTATTAGGCGCTGTATGTACTATGCTGTTATCCTGGTATAAGACCGAAGAACCAGTACCAGTCTACCATCTTGTAAAAGTGATTCCAATGACAGTGTAAAGAATTAAGAAGCAAGTGTGCTTTTACAGAGAAATTAGAGCAAGGAAGTTTCATTAAATGCCCAATTTACTTTTGAAGTGATTAAAAAAAACTGTTAATTGTAAAGTTGTAAAGTAGTCTTTTAAGAATTGTATACCTTTTCCATCAGACCATAGATGCACACATTCCTTTCAATTCTATAATGAATATATAAAATGATGTACACTTTTCAAGCAAGGAAAATGTGTGATGGCAATTTGATGAAAGAAAATCGGCAGAGGGGCCTCAATCTCTAAATGTAGATACATTTAGATCCTTTGACAGAAATGTGAACTATTTGTCAATTTGGCAGGTATTATTAAATAAACTCACTGGTACTGAAACCAGCTTGGGTAACCTGTCCCATCGTTCAATGACACACTCATTGAGAAGCCCTCTGTGATTTATACTGAAAGAATAACCATGTGACCGTTAGCAATGAATGCTGCACCACTCGTCCAGTAAAGAAGTCACAATGTTCTTCTGTTCTGACAAACAGATGTGACTGTGTCGTGTGAATCATTGTAGAAATGATCTAAGATAACAGTGGAGTCAGTTTATCACGTCTTCTAAAACTCTCTCACGTCCTGACATGCTAACTCACTGTGATGTTTGTCTCAGAAGATAAATCAGACTTCATGTAGACACTTAAAAACCACAGTACGAGTGATGTGTGTCAGTTTACTCTCTGTAACATATGGCCACAGGTCCATCGGCCCCAACCAATGAGAAGGAAATAATGTCATTTAAAAATCAACAATTGATGAAGAACATCCTGTGCAGCCCTTCTCTGTCCCACCGGAGCAGATGAACAGTCCTTCCCTCACAGAGCCAGAAAACCAAGAGAGGCTGTTCAGAGTTTAAAGCTAGAGCTGCTCAGTGATGGGAGCCCGAGCAGAAATATTTTCCCTCCTTCGGTTTCTTACTCTCCACAGCTTCAATCTTTGCTGCTGCTACTCAGCTCCAGTTCGTTGAAGAGCCTGAGATTGAAGGCCGGATGGCACCCTTCGGAGAAGGCTTTGATCCAAACCAGGACATCTAAAACATTTAACACAGCAGACATCAAGTTAGGATGCAACTCTTTTAATAAATGTACTGTATATATGGGTTCATTTCATTGAAGTGCTCTAAGTTTCATTAACCAAATCATTGCACAGACAGGTGTTTGAAGCTGCAGACTGAAGACCAACCTTGTACTCCAGAGTTTGTTTCAACATGTCCTCTTCCTCACGAGAGAAGTTCAGCAGCACAGACACAGCGCGTATCAACTGGAATGCCTGACAGAGCAAGACACACAGATTCAGACTTGGAAACAGAACTAGGGTCAGTCAGTCAACAACCAGCTGACATAGATTATTTTAGCCTACCTCAGCCTCTCTACATGACATAAATTTGAGTACGACGTGTTTGAGATACTCAAAGTTGATTTCTCGTGAGTCGTTTAGGTCGGAGGTGTTGGTCACCGTGGTGTTGGAGGTGGGGGGGCTAAGCGTGGATGCTGGTGGCGGCTCTGGATAAACCCTCTCTGGTTTTTCTGCCCGGCTTTCCGGAAACTTCTCCTTCCCTTCGGCTTCTGGTTCAGGCTTAAGCTTCTACAGAGCACAACAAGTAAACACTGGTCGTTCAGAGAGTATTCAAACCTCTTCACTTTTCCCATTTTCTTATGAAACTGCCTTACACTGAAATCAATCTATTTCAACACTCCATCAGGAAAAAGTAAGAAGAGGATTTTAGATGGACTGGGCATTAGGGGTGTAACGGTACACGTACCGAAATTATTCGGTACGGGCCCTTCGGTTGGGTACACGTGTGTACCGAACGAATATAACGTTAAACGTAAAAAATTGAGAACGTGAACAACTTCTTGGAAGTAATCTCAGGTGCTGCGTCGCAGCATTCTGAGAAATTTGCCCACATTGGGTTCAACGCGTCATAGAGCGAGCAAGTCATTTCATTGGACGAGAGGCATACTATGAGAGCTGGTCAGAGGGATGCGTTCAAATGTAGTCAGTAATTTGAGGAACTATCCAAATGGCGAACGCAGATCAAGTTGAGCTCGAAAATCCTCCAGCATCATTGAAGTCTCCGGTTTGGGAACATTTTGTTTTCGCAGTTACGTACAAGGATGACGTACAAAGACAGGTGGACCGAATCAAAGGTGTTTGTCGGCATTGTTCAACTAAAATTGGTTACGCGGCTGGCAATACATCAAACTTGCATACTCATTTGAAAAGGCATCACCCGAACGTGAATATCACAGGTACCAAAAGAAAAAAGACTGAAGTGCAAACCAAACTCCCACTAGCATTTAAGCCTCCACCACTCGCAAAAAGTTCAGACCGAGCCAAAGCTATTACAAACGCCAAATATCCTTATGTTGCTATGTTAGCAAAGCGCTACCTGGCTGTACAGTACAGTTCAAATACAGATTATTTCAGTTCATCGAAATACTGCACCTTAATGTTTATTTATTATATTTTGTATTTATTTGAGTGAATATTCACAGTTGAATAATAATTAAAAACCCAAACTAATAGTTTATGTTTTGTGAGTACTAGTACAGTAAAGTTCAA